AACCTAATAGGAAGAACAAATGTCCAAAAATAGCCAAAATGTTCTGAAGAATAAGGTGGGGGCTTGCTTACCATTGAGTGTGCATGCGGGCCGGCCCGGTGGCGCACTGGATAGTGCGCCGCTTGGGAAGCGCGGCAGCGCTCCTGCCCGAGGGTTCGGATCCCACATACAGACCGGTTCCCGCTCACTGGCTGAGCGAGGCGCGGGAGCAACACCGAGGGTTGCAATCCTGTTGCCAGTCCCTGGTCTGGTACGGGGGCAACACTGGGGGTTGGGATCCGTTGCCGGACACGGAAAAAAAAAAAAAAAAAAAAAAAAAAAAAACATTCAGTATGCATAGTAAGAGTATAGTAATGCAGATGTCAGGTGTCAGCAGAGGAATGGTCAACAGCACCGAGGGAAAGGAAGGGAGTCCGGAAGCAGGCCACAGGCTGGGGACATCTGATTAATGGCAGGGCAGGCATTGCAGAGAAGTCCCAGAAATGTCAGATGCCTTAATACATGGGACTGAACAAATTATCTAAATAAGAAAAATGTCTTCTCTGTCCACCTATTTCACGGACAACAATGAATTTATCACACATTTAAGCAAAGAGTATTGTAGATCGTAAGAAACAGACCAGATTATCCATTGCCACAAATTCTTCACCTGGCCAAGAACAATGGATATTCTGGTGAATCTTTATAATTCATCAATTTATCTACCCACATTTTTCTGGAGATGTATTCCGTTTTCTGTAACCATCCTGTAAGGAAGGTTTTCTCTGTTTCTCTTAGATTCTTTTCCCCAGTGGCATTTTCAAGGCTAAACCCTGGAATTCCATTTCTAATCACTCAAAAGAAAAGAAGACCTGACAAACTCACCACAGTCTCCAGGACAAAAAGAAAGAAAAAGAGAAAAAGTAAAGAGGAGTGTTTAAGCAACAGAATGGACGACCGAAACTTTTTTTTCTGAGATTCACACCTTTGGAAATATTTTATCTTATCCTTCAAGCTCTGTTAATTAAATGTATATTATTATATTATAATTATTATAATTAAATGTATGTTATATTTACTGATAAACCGAGGCTCCGGTAAGTGACTAAATCTTTTCACAGTGACAAATCCACGGAGGGACCGTGGGAAACCGACTCAAGGGCCAAGTCCGGCCGTCCTACCACCAGGGACATCTGCACCGCACCTGTTCATTGTCCCCTGAACAAAGGACAGTGGCTTGTGTCCCCGCTGGGTGTCTGAAGTGCATTTTGCTTTTTGGGGGGATACACTCCCTCTCAGGTTTGGGTTTCTCTGATCTCTTCGGTTCGGTGAGAACCCGGGGACCAGGAATCATGTCCGTCTGTCCCCCTTACTACCAGCATCCTGTAGGTCAGAGGACACCATCCCACCATCGTGTCTCCAAGAAGGAAAACTGGGATTCGGGGAGGAACAGCTCAGAGTCGACGGAGGGGCCTGAGGGGTTCCTCCCGCCCCAGGGCACGGGACAGCTCTTCTGACACCCCCACCCCAACAAGCTGTCCCGTGGGAGGGGCGCGTCCAGCGGTGTCCCCAGAGCGAGGGCAGCTGGGGGCGTCTCGGGCCGTTCCGGGCAGATCTGAAACCCAGGAGGGTGGGCTGAGAACGCAGGTCACCCCCAGGACCCTTGACCCAAAGCGCTTCCGGTAAGACATCCGTCCCCAGGGAAGACGCTGCGAGGACAGGCGCAGAGACTTCGCACGGGGGACTCTGGGGTCGCTCTCCGCGTCCTGCTCCCGTGAAACGTTCGGCCGGGACACAGGTCTTTCACAGAGAGACCCGCGTTGTCGCTCCGCGCACCGATAGTCACCGATAGGCGCGGCCGGCGACGGGAGAGGGAGTGTCACCGCGGACGCTGCGCGCGCGGCGGGGCCATTGCGCGGGGCTGCGGCGAGCTCGAGCTGCCAGCCCCGGGCCCGCTGGTGCTAGGGACGGCTTGCGCCAGCGCTTCGAGCACTTTCTGGAACAGAGGGAATTGGCCACCGAAGCGCTCTGGGCGCTCGAAGTCAGGAGCGGTGTCGACCGGCGCTATCTTGCCTGGGATGAGCCGTCCGCGGGGTGCTCGCCCCATTTCGCCGACAGGCACACTGAGGCTCGGAGCGGCCCCGCCTCGGGCGTGCCCCGGCGGCGGGTCCGGTCCGGCTGGAGGGCGCGCCCCACTGCCCAGCGGGGAGACCGAGACCCCGGCGTGGGGTCTTGGACCAGGATCCCCGGCTGCCCGCAGCCCTGCCGCTTGGGCAGGGCCACCCCCTCAGCAGCCCGGGTCCAGCCGTCCTCTGCCCTCTCCCTGGGGCCCTGGACGCCCACCAGACTCAAGTCCGGTTCTTCCGGTTGCCCGAGGCCCCGGGGGGTGTGGGGAGACGGGGCGGCACGGCTGCCAGCGTCCTGCGTGTCTGCAGCCCGGCAGCAAGAGTCGAGCTCGTCCTGTTTTTCCCAGGAGGCCAGGAGGGCAACCGACCAGCCTGGGAGGTGTCCAAGACCCTCCCATGTTTCCCGTGCAGGGAACACTCTTCTTGGCCTGCCCTCTCCCCTTCCCCTGGCTCAGTAGCTTTGTGTCACTGTGCCTAAATATTTGTGGAGTTGAGGTGCGTTGTTTGACAGCTGTGACGGGGGATTGGGGGTTGGACTGGGTCCACGCAGCGGGGGATTCAGGCATCCCTGATAGGAGCTCCGTTCCGGTTCCTCTGTTCCTCTCCGTCTTGGGTGGCCCCTGGAAATTCCCAAAACTCAGTCTAGGGAGCACTTAGTAAGCGCTCCGTAAATGCCCCCCCACCCCCTTTTTATGGTGCTCTGAGGCCCACTGGCTCTGTCACCTCTTCCAGGAACGAATCACAGGACACTTTGTCTGGACTCTGGGGGAGGTCTGGGTGGAGGGCAGTGCCACGTGTTTTGAGCACCTTGGGCGTGCAGATTCTGGGAGTCCGTTTCTTTTCATTTTCCCACCAGCTGGGGGATCCCCATGCCAGGCAGCCCAGGGAGGGTCTGCAATCTGAGCCCCCCCACCCCAGGTCCTGATGTCCAAGGTCATCTTCCCATTGCTGAAGCTGCAGGAAAAAGGATTTGGGGGAGGAATACCTGGAAGAGCCCCTTGTCCCCCACTAGTGAGTCCCAGGAAGGAGTGTCATTCCCCAACCCCGTCATTCAGGTGTGGGAACCCTTGGACCCCACCTGTGCCAAATCGCCAAATCCCACACCCCCAGGTAACAGATGAGGAAACTCAGAGGATGCCGTGACCGGGAAGGTCACACTGCCTCCTAAGGCCAGTGGGGGGGGTGGGGCTCCCACTCCTGAGTGCCCTTGAGGATAATGACTAATGCAGATGGAGGAAAGGTGGGGGACTTGTGGCTCTGACTTTTGGTCTAAGAGTGGCCCCTATCTCTCTGCAGATAGCCTCGGAGGAGGAGGGAGGCTGTCCAAGCTCTCTGGGCCCAGAGGCTCCCTGGTGACCTTGGGCACTGACACCCCCCCACCCCCTCAGCCTCAGTTTTTCAGTTTTGTTCTGGCGCTTGAATGAGATAAGGCAGGGGACACACAGAGCCTGGCACACAATAAGCACTTAGTAAGTGCAGCAGCTATCCTTCTTTCACAATCAGGTTCAGGATTGTGGCTGAGCTCCTGCCCCCCACCCCCACCCCCATTGCCGGGAGCGTGTTTTAGTGGCCGGAAGTCACTCAATAAATGTCTAGAAAGGAGCTCTCTGTTGAGTCGTATTTAGCTAACCCCAAGCAACCTTATGAGGAAGGGGCCATTCCCAACCCCATCTACAGATGGGGAAACTGAAGTTCCACGACTCAATAAATGTCTAGAAAGGAGCTCTCTGTTGAGTCGTATTTAGCTAACCCCAAGCAACCGTATGAGGAAGGGGCCATTCCCAACCCCATCTACAGATGGGGAAACTGAAGTTCCACGTAGAGAGCCTTGCTCAGTGCAAGTGGTGAGTGAGCGCAAGAGCCAAGGGCTCTGCTAGGTTTGGGGATCGAATGCTGGGTGTCGCTCCCTCCCACTAAGACAGGCGTTCCCAAAGGGGGCGGGGGGTGACACTGACCCCGGGGGATATTTGGCAATGTCTGCGGACACTTTTGGTTGTCACCACTGGGTAGGGGGTGCTCCCGTCATGGAGTGGGTGCAGGTCAGGGATGCTGCTCAGCACCTGCAGTGCCCAGGATGGCAACCCCCTCCTCCCCAAACCAGGAATGACCCAGCCCCACGCAGTGCGAGGCGGAGAAGCCCCACACTGAGGTAGCACGTGGAAACGCTGCTGCCTTTCCTAGCTCGCCCAGACCCCAGTCATAATGACAGCAGGGCCTCGCTTTTAGGTTTCCCTCCCAGCAGTTATATTCAAACACCGTGCTCTTGTTCCCAGCCCCTCCCGTAGGGCCTGGAATGAGATGGTTATAATCGTAGACAATCACTTGTTCACTCAACAAACGTTTATTGGGCAGCTGCTCTGTAGCCACACCTGCTTGCTACAGCCCCAAGTCAAGGTCCCTGCCTGTCCTTGGGGAGCTTTCAGCCCATGGGGGAGAGGGACAAGGGGCTCAGTGTTGCCACGAGGGATGCACAGGTGCTGCAGGGGTAACTGACACGTACTGGGTGTTACTGAGGCTTCCGGAAGAAGGTGATGGTGCTAGACTGCATCAGCCAAGAGGTGGCCGGGCGCCACAGTGGGGGCACCGAGGCTGCCCAGGTCCCCACCCACCCCTGCTCTCTCCTTTAGGAGCTGTCACTCTACTAAGCATGTGTCTGCTGTTTGGTTATGGGGTGTCTCTACTCTTCAATCTAATCAGCTTTGTTTAGCCTACAGTGCTCCACATGGGAGCCGGGCAGGGCTCCCAGGGCCGTCCCTGACTCTGCTGTGCCTCCCCAGTCAAAGCCATCAAGAGCCCAAGCAAAAATTACAACACTGTCTGGTTCACCCACTGGGTGGTGTACGCCCTGTTCAGGCTGGCTGAGTTCTTCAGCGATCTACCCCTGTTCTTGTTCCCTTTCTACTATGCGGGCAAGGTGGGCATAGCCATGGCACACACAATGTGGGGTTCCCGGGAGGAGTTGCTCGCCCCCCCCGGGGGCTGGTCGGGGAGGAGACCAGGAGTTGGGGGGGGTAATGGGGAGACTCAGCCCCTTCCCTGGGGAAAACAGGCTCAGCCCAGGGGGTGTCCGATGGTGGAGACCCAGGCCCACCCCAATAGGGCCCACCTTGCAGAGGAATCTGATGGTGGAGAGCCACTGCGTGCCCAGGGCGGATGTCTGACAGGGACACCGCGTGTTACTCTCACCCACCGCTGCCCGCCCCACAGTGTGCCTTCCTGTTGTTCACGTGACTCCTGGGCATGGGGCCCTCATACTTTATCACCCAGTCATCTGTCCGCTGTTTCTGAAGCAACACACGGCCGTGGACAGTGCTGTGAGCAACCTCAGGGGGCAACTTCTAGACGCTGCAGCCACAATAACCAGGGATGGTGCATGCTTGCTGGCTGCGGGGCTGTCTCAGCCTGTCGTCTTCCGGGTCTCGGCCTGTCTGTCTGTCTTCTGTCTGTCCCATCTCCCAGTCTGCCCGACCTGCTCATCCTCCCCCATCCTCCCTTCCTGATGCTGCCCTCCAGCTGGCATCTCAGCTGCCCCCTCTGGCCTCTGCTGTCTGCCTCTCACTGTCTGCCTCTCCCTGGCTGTCAGGAACCAGTCTTGCAGGCCCTGGCCTGCAGCCAGGCTCTCGTCACCCCAGCATCTGTGGCAGGACACTCTACTGCTCTCAGAGACAACCGCACTAACTCCCTGGGGGAGGTAGGGGCTGTGTGTGTGCATGTGTGAGTGTGCATGTGAGCATGTGCACATGAGTGTGCTGTGTGCACATGTGTGTACATGTGAGTGTGTGCTTGAGCATGTGCATCCATGTGTGCTTATGCCGTGTGCATGTGTGAGTGTGCATGTGAGCATGTGCACATGAGTGTGCTGTGTGCACATGTGTGCACATGTGAGTGTGTGCTTGAGCATGTGCATACATGTGTGCTTATGCTGCTTATGCCTACATGTATGTGTGTGGTGTGGCCGTGTGTGCATGCATATGGAAGCTCATGCATGTGTGTGCTAAGCATGCACATGTGCTTTGCATGTGCATATGGAAATGGATGTGTGAGAGTGCATGTGCGTGTGTGTATAGGCATGAACATGGTATCATGCAGGTGCAGCTCTGTGTGTACACATATGCATACATCTGCATGTGTGTGCAACATGCATACATGCATGCTCATATGTGCATTCACATGAGCAATGCATGTGTGTGTGTGAGTGTGGCTATCACATGTGTGCTGCTGTGTGTGCACGTATGCACATGTCCATGTGTGTACTATGTGTGCATGTGTGTGCAACATGCATACATGCATGCTCATATGTGCATTCACATGAGCAATGCGTGTGTGTGTGAGTGCAGCTATCACATGTGTGCTGCTGTGTGTGCACGTATGCACATGTCCATGTGTGTACTGTGTGTGCATGGGTGTGCAACATGCATTGCGTGTGCATGCACATGTGCATTGCTTGTATGTGTGCATGTGCAAGCGTGGCCATTCATGTGCTGCTCTGTGTGTGCACAGGTGCACATGTCCATGTGTGTGTGCATTGCATGTGCATGTGAGTGTGAGTAGTCATTGCACATGTGCTATGTGTGTATGTGTGCACATATCCGTATGTGTGTGTGTGTGCATGTATGTGCATCCATGGACATCAAACATGTGCTGCTCTGCATGTGCACACATCTCTGTGTGTGTGAATGTGTGTGCTCTGCTATCTCAGCTTAGCATGGCCACCTGGCCTCTCAAGCTAAGCCCATGCTCACAGCCTCCCTCCTGCTCTCCAGAAGCTTAGCAGAGCCCCAGGGGCCTGGCTGCCTCACGTCACCTGCCCCTCTCTCCCCAGCCAAGTCAGGCCTGACCCCACCACAGAGGGACAAGTGAGGAAGCCCCACACCCCTAACTAGGACCTTACGCCTGGCGAGAATGGGGCCATGTCAGGTGCCCAGCCCTCAACAGAGTCCTTGATGGATTCTCTGACAGAGTTCCCCTCCAGCCCTTTAGGTGCAGACAAGCCCCCAGGGGTCCCCTAAAATGCCTCTTCAGACAACTCCCAGTCTCGCTCCTCGGGCACCCCCAGCTCTGGGTACCAGGGCCAGCTGCCCTCCGGCTCTTCCAGTGGCTCCCACCTACCCAGAAAGGCCTGGGGCCAGCCTCGGTCATGAGGCAACTCCTCCAGCCAGCCCCAGCAGCATACTCCACTCTCCAACACTTCCTCTGGTCCATCCCAGATGGCCCTTCGGTCCTCAGGGTCCATGCACAATTCCAGTGCCCCTACCAGCCACGTGCCACCTCTGGTCCAGTCTGCCAGTGTCACCACCATCCCCATGCAGCCCCCCAGCAAGGCCTCCAGAAAGCCAGGGGACGTGGCACCCAAGACCAGCAGGTGGCACTGGAAGTGGTCCTCAAAGCCACCAGCCAGCAGCAGCTTGGTGCCCAAGCTGACCATCCCCTGCCACTTTGAGTCCTCTCTAGAGTACACCTCTGAGTTCAGCACCAAGGTCACCTGTAGCTGGCCACACCACAGACATAGGCTCCAGTGCCTGCAGCACTACTGGCACCTGAACCACCTGGCCTGCTAGAGCTGGTAATAAAGTGCATCTGGACCAGGCTCGCTGAGCACAACCTCATTTAATCAGGAGTGAATGCCGCAAAGCCCAGCCCATTTCACAGAAGGGGGAAACTGAGGCCCAGAGAGGCAAATCATCCCACTCGAGGTCTTGTCAACTGGCTAAGACTAGTCATCAGGCTTGTTCATGTTAACCTCCATTTTTTAAAAACTCTTCCAGAAAAGAGAAATAGAGAAAATGGTCCCTGATCTCGTTTGGGTCCCCGCCAGCCCAGAAGCAGATGTCGAAAGAATTTGAGTCCTGGTCCTTTATTTGGGATCCCAGGGAACTCCAGTGGGGAGTGGGGATGCGAGGTGGGGAAGTGGAGGGAACCACAGAAGGGGCATGGCCACACCAGCAATACCTGTGGGCACCTGGTGCTCCAACCAGGCATTGAATACATACCTGAGACTCATCCTGTGTGTGGATGAGGGAGCTAGGGTATTTATCCGCTAACTACTGTCAGTCACTGGGGGAGGGCTGGGCTCAGGTGGGGCGACCATGAATTCTGGCCAGTGCTCCCTGCAGGTAGTGTGGGGTCCAGGGGCCAGAGAATGCATCCCACAAGGAGGCATAGGGCTGGCAGCTGAAGTTGGACTGGCATTCATGGGAACTGAGAGAAGGGATACCGGTGGGCACCAGTGAGTCTTCTACAACCCACAATATTTTTTGGAGCGGGGGGGAACTAGCATGACCCTGATAACAAAAACAGGTAAAGACAGAACCAGAAAGGAGTGTGAGGAGCCTGTTTCCTAGATGTAGACGTAACACATCTAAGCAAAATCAGCAAATGAAATCTAACAGGATATAAAAAAGTAGGACACCCCCTGTTCATGTTGGGTTCCCTGGAAACACAGTCTGAGTCGGAGGCAGCAGGAGGGAGGGAGCTGAGCAAGGAGGTGGTCTGGGGGGGCCTGGAGTGAGAACTACACCCATGAGTTAACTCCACTTTGGGTCTGGGGGCTGGGTTTGGGGTTTTTTTAACCACAAGTATTTATTGATGGGTGGAAGAATACTGTTTTGATGAAACAGTAAAGCACAAATGGGGATTAAAATGATTTGGGGGCTGGCCGGTTAGCCCAGCTGGGTAGAGCATGGTGTTGTAACACCAAGGTTATGGGTTCAGGTCCCCGTACCAGCCACCAAATTTGGTATATAACCAAAAGGGGGAGGGGAGCCATAATTTTAGGAACTTTGAATGTGCAAATGAAGGAGTGGCTGAAGGGCCTCTCTAACAGATTAGTATCAGAAAATTCTTCCCTTTTATACAACTCCTATATTATGTCATTTGATCACAAAATCAGGCTGATACTTCACAAGGAACTCTGGGGCTGGCCAGTTAACTAAGTTGGTTGGACTGCAGCCTTGTAACACCCAGGTCAAGGGTTTGGATCCCCATATTGGCCCCCCCAAAATTAAGAATTCCCCCTTCATTTACACCTGAACCCCCTAGTCTAGCCTCTCCTCCGTTCCCTTACCCATCCCTCTGCAGTGGTAGGTTTTAGCAATCCCCTTCCTAAGGAACTGTACACATATCCTAGATAGCTTTCCAAAGCAAGGAAATAAACATATGAGTAATGAGTCAGAGAAAGTCAGCCAAGGGCAGATTTATGGATAAACAGACACATGCAGACAGATGGCTGGATGGTAGCAGCCTGATTCAATGTATTCCAAGCTGAGCTGACATTGGCAGAGAGGTTGCTAGTGTAACTGGGCAGCTGACAACACACTACATCCCATGCTCTGGACTCTATTAGGAGTTGACACTTCCAGCATTAGCATCTGCCAAATGTAAAATTCGTGAACAATTCTGTGCAAAACTTCAAGACAATGAGGACAATCTCTAAATCATTTGGACTGGG